AGACTCCAACTCAAAAAAAAAAAAAAAGAAAAGAAAGATTTGTTATAAGAGCACAGGGTAAGATTTACTGAAGCTTTTCGTTTTGGTATCCCTGTCATGCTGCTGCTGCTACTATGATTATTACTAATATTAACTACTGCAAGTAAGCATCTATCCAGCTATGTATGTACTAGACAGTGTTCTAAGTTCAACTGCTGTTTGAACCAATAGTTTTCTGTTTTTCTCTGTTCTAGAAGTAGAAAGTGAAAAATTTAACATAATTTACCTGGTAGATTTCAGCTTGAATATCTGTGATCTTCTGTAGTCTGGAGAAGTTCATAAAACAAGAAGTCGTTTTCTTGGATATGTTTAACATCTCCTATTGGGAAATGAACAGGGAAAGCAGCAATAAGTCACAAAAAGTTTTTGTGTATATTGGAATATCATGCCCATGGATTTAAAATATGAGAATACAGGCCAAGTACAGTGGCTCATGCCTGTAATCCCAGCACTTTGGGAGACAGAGGTGAGAGTATTGCCTGAACTCATGGGTACGAGACCAGCCTGGGCAACTTGGCAAGACCTCGTGTGCACAATAAATCAAAAAAATTAGCCGGGCATGGTAGTGCCCTGTGGAAGGCGGAGAAGGATCCCCCGAGCCCAGCATGTTGAGGCTGCGAAGGCTGTAGCATAACACTGCACTCCAGCCTAGGTGACACAATGAGACTCCAGCTCTCCAGCTCAAAAAAACAAATAAATAAAATATGAGACTATATTATGTCCAACACTGCCTGAACATGAAGTACACAGTAAAACAGTAGCAATGTGTATTTCTTGCTTTTTTTTGAGTTAAGAGTCTCACTCTGTTGCCCAGGCTGACGTGTGGTGGCACGCTCATGGCCACCGCTGCCTCAACTTGCTGGGCCCAGTGATCCTTCCACCTCAGTCTTCCAAGTAGCTGGAACTACGGCCTGTGCCACCACACCCGGCTAATTTTTTTTTTTTTTTTAATTTTAGAGGTTAGTGTTAGGGCACGGATAGGGTGAGGGTAGACAGATGGACAGAGAGAGAGGCTCAGCACCACCAGAGCAGGCATGCCAGAGGTGTGTGCCGGTGGTGACCCACATATCCTAGTAATGCAAAGAACTGCAACACACAGAGGTGAGAGATTTATTTAAGATAAGTTCACTCTCCACAGACAGAGGACCTACAATCTAGATGAGTGCGGCACTATAGCACACCCCCGCCCCAGTCCTGGCTTAAATTCTTTCCCCTGGAGATGTTGCAGTCAGGTAGACCTGACTGCCTGTGGATGTCTTGGAGATCCTGTGACACAGAGACCCACTAATGTCCGCCCACATTATCACAGCCTCTAGAGAAGGGCGTGACGAGGATTAATGGAGGGTGCATTTCCCCTTATCTCCCAGGCATTCCCAGTGGGTAGCTTCGGGAAATCCTTGACTTCCCTGTAGATGGGGCCCAATTTACTGGAAGATTGAATCCCTACCTGCTCCCCCTCTAAGCAGTCATAACTTGTAATTACAAGTTTCCTGACTTTTACAATCCTTGCCCAATGCATGATGTCTTAGGCCTTGTAAATTCACTTTACTCTAGGCAAGCTTGATTGCCAATATGAGATACCTCTGATACCTGGAAGTCTGTTTCTGAAAAGACAAAGTCGGCAAAGTTAATTTTTCCTAGCTTCTACTTTTTCATCATTGTATTAAGGTTTAGGAACAAGATAAAAAATGGCTGTTGGCTCTCAGTCTGTCCTTTCAGTGAGGTCTTGTCAAGTTGCCCAGGCTGGTCTTGAAACCTGTGGGCTCAAGCAATCCTCTGACCTCAGCCTCCCAAAGTACTGGGATTATAGGCGTGAGCCATCGTGTCTGATCCTATTTACTGCTTTTTAAGAACCTTCACTATTACAAATTCTTTGCCCAAATTAAAAAAAAAAAAGGAGAGAGAGAGAGAAATAAACAAGACAATCACGTTTTACTATCTCCTAAGGTACCACAGACAATAGATTTGCATTACTGATAGTTTATCAGAATTTCTGAGGCTTTGTTGAAGAACCACCTCTAACTTTCCAAATGACCCAAGCCTAGACTCTTCAAGCCTCCTGGGGCTAAAAGTCAAACATTTTCCCTACCATGGACGCATTTACCTAATGTATTAAATGACTTCAATTGGCTACAAGTCATTCATACTAGCTCCACATTCTCACTCTCTTAGATGAAGGAATGTTTGTATATAGGCAAAGGTTACCCCTTCTTTCATTCTATTATTCTCTGTTATACTACCATCTTAAATTGCAGGTTATCTCAGAATACAAATATTATCTTGTTCATCCCTAGACTTCAGCCATATTTTCTGTACAATCTATTCTAGTATGTTAGCATAAGAAAGAACTTTAGTGATCATATAGGCCAGAGAGTGGGAAACTAGAGTCTATGAATAAAACGCATCCCATTGCCTGTTTTTGTACATCCTGTGAGCTAATAAATGGTTTTTATATTTTTAAACTGTTGGAGGAAAAAAAAAAACAAAGAAAAACAATATTTTACAATACATGAAAATTATATGAAATTAAAATTTCAGGGTCCAGAAATAAAGTTTTCTTGGAACACAACTTCTTTCTTTTTTTGAGTTGGAGTTTCACTCTATCGCCCAGACTGGAGTGCAGTGGCTGCTCCCGGCCACCGCGGCCTCGACCTGCTGGGCTCCGGCGATCCTTCTGCCTCAGCCTTCCGAGTAGCCGGAATTACAGGCGAACGCTACCATGCCCAGCTAATTTTTTGATTTTATTGTAGAGATGAGGTCTCGCCTGCCCAGGCGGGTCTCGAACCCGCGGGCTCAGGCAATCCACTCACCTTAGCCTCCCAAAGGCTCCGGATTACAGGCTGAGTCACCGAGCCTGACTGGAACACAACTTCTTACTCATTTACATATTATCTCTGGCTGCCTCTACATTACAACCACCTAGTTGAATAGCTCCAAGCACATGACCTACAAAGCTTCAAATATTTATTCTCTGTCTTTCACAGCAAAAATTTGCTGACCAAAGATAATCAATTTTTTTTTTTAAATTTTAGAAGCCGGGCTCAGTTGTTCAGCCTGTAATCCCGTGCCTTTGGGAGGCTGAGGTGAGTGGATTGCCTGAGCCCACGGGTTCGAGACTC